ATAATTATATATATATGTGTGTGTGTGTGTATATATATATATATATATATAGTTTCATTCCTTGGCCACTGGCAGCTGAGCTATTCTGCAAGGGACAGAAACACACAGATGGCTCGGAGCAAGTATAATGGAAGGACTTGTGGGGGGCAGCAGGTGCTGCATCCGCAGTCCACCGGGGACAGTGGGATGGGTCAGGACGGTTGCTCTGACATGGGAAACGCTGTGGCCAAGGTGGTTTGTGGTCAAGACGATGCCATGTTCAGTTTGGACATGTTTCTGAGGACCTACACCACATACAAACATTCACGTCTTGGCTGGGAGAGACCTGCCTGGGTTAGTCTAGTCTTGGGTCCACCACTTCCAGCTGCTTGAGCAAGTTATTATACCTTTCCGTGCCCCCGTCTTCTCAATTTTCAAGCAGGAACCTATCTCACAAGGTTGTATGACGATTAAATGACCTGGTCAGTGTAAGGCACTTTGGACAGTTCCTAAGTGACGGTGATAATGATCATTATCTGGATGGGATACAGACGTGAGGGGGCGGTGTTGGCACAGAAGTGCTGAATGAAGCCCGTTGATGTAATTCGAGCTTAGGGGGCAGACACGGTGGCCCAGGAAGCACCGAAAACGAAAAAAGGACCGAGGGCAGATCCCGAGGACACCTATGTCTAAGCACAAGGCAGAGGAGAGATCTGAAAGGGTACTGAAGACGGATGGCTGGTGAGGTGGAGGGAAAATAAAGAGTGCAAGGGCAAGAGAACATTCCAGATAAAGTGTTCATCAGTGTTAAAGGCTGCCGAGTAAGACCAAGACAGAGCACACGGGCCTTGGATTCAGCTGCGGTGGGAGGTGGGGAGAGTGCTTCTGAGGCTAGAGGGGGGTTCTGGGGCGCGTCTCTTTCCAGCAGATGGTCAGTGAAGCGCGTGGGCAACAGAAGTCAGGAAGGAAACAATCATTGAGCAGCAACCCCCCGCAACCCCCCACTACTCCACACCATCTGTGGCTTCCCCGTGGGCTCTGCTACACATCCAGATTAATTCCGATACGCCTGAGAACACGAGGTCGAGGTGCGTTTTCTGCCCCTGGGCCATCTGAGCCACAGGCAGGTCCTACCTTGGCCCGGGCATGCTCACGGTCTCCTTCTCATTTTCCTCCAGCAACTTTGTGTAGGACGACGGGAACCAACCCCTCCTGAAGGTGAAGAGTGGGGAGAAAAAGACCTTGCTGGGATGCTCACAGCAGACAAGCAAGCCATAAACACACCCAGGAACGGCTCGGTCACAGCTCAGGGGCCGGCCAGGCCACTTCCATCACAGTCTCTCAGGTATCTCATATACAGCATTACTTTTATTTGGATTCCCTTTTTGTCTTTTGTTTCCATATTGGTTTTACTTAATACCTGAATAATCTACACAGAAACTTGATTTAACCCACTTCCTGTAAAGCTTATGCACGTCCCGTTGAAACGATGACACTGGCATTTAAACTATTCACGTGCTAAATCTTAACAAAGTATATCTTGAGAAATCTGAAGTCACGTGAAAAAAAACATTTAAAACTACTTTCAGAAGTGACTCCTATTTATTTATGCATCAGATTCATCTATAAACGCACACACATACAGAAAACAGTTTGGGAATGACTGGGAATAGAATAACTGCAGTTAACTATAACTGTCACTGAACTATGAACCTAACTGTGGAGAAAATGCTAATCCGCCCACAAGGAAGACCTGCTACGAGGAGAGACAACGGCCCTCTCAGCGTGGGACCGCTGGACGCAGTGCAGAGGCCCCCTCTCGAGGCCTACCCTTTGGTGCCCTCATGCTCTCCGTACAGCCAGCCGTCCTTCTCCTCGGAGACAAGCAGCGTGATGACGTCTCCCTGTGCGAAGCTGAGTAAGGTCTGGTTCGCGCCGGCCGTGTGCGGAAAGATGGTTTTCACTTTCTGCTTTTTTACCCTGTTCAGTCCAGTGGCAACAGAAACCGATCGCTGTAAACTGGGGTCATCTGAAGAACCTGTCAAAAATGAACCGAGCAGTGATGGCTTTTCAAGGAACGATGATCAGGCAAGTTCAAAGGAGCCAAGCCCAGGAAACCACCCGCCCCCATCTCTCCAGCACACTCATTCCACTGAGACACCAATTGGATTATATTTCCACACCTCCACCCTTATCTGGATGGACAGGGACAGCAAGGGACAGCAGCAGAGCCATGGCCCGAGGCCTCTCAGAGGAGGATCCCTGTGGCTAAAGGCTCTTTTCCAGACCGAGAGGATAAAGTAGTGTAGCCAAGCTTCGTCTGCACTGATTCAATCAGGACGGCTCTTAAAGAGGCAAAGTTCTCCACCACCAAGTGGCCCACTGCTTTCCTTGCCGCGCTCCCCCAGAACAAATCACAAGGCCTGTGCCACAAAAAAGAGAGAAACTGGAAATGTAGACGTTCTTGCTGTCATGTCTGCTCACCTGCGAGCGTGGCAGGGATGTAGTGAGGGTGAGTCACGTGTATTGACCCCTCCCCCTAGATGCCCGTGGCAGAGGCAGGAACCAGATGCGGGCGGCCTGGCTCCACGGCCTAATGCTGCACTACGTCATGTCTCAGCTCAACGCAGGCTGATATCTACCAGCACTACCCCCCGCCACCCCAAAATTGGAATGGAAAAATTTTTTTCCATATTTTTTTCCACTCAAATTTTGCTAGCCCACTATTTACTATAAAATAATGCAAAATCTCTTTCTGCATCATTCTCGCAAATTCTTAATAAGTACAATGTAAACTGTGCTATCTCTTCAACATGCCTCATAGTCTAATTACCTTGGCTGTATTGAATTCAATGATTTTCATTTAGCTTTTACCAATAAGAACCAAAGAATCATTTGAATGATTGGGTGGCACACAGCATTGTATATTTTGACCTTATATTATATATAACTTACAGTTCTTCAAAGGCAAATGGCTACAGAGTATCATCTTTCCAGCGGACATTCTGAAAATCCCATCTCTTCCCCAAGAGCTGCACGCGCTGGACAGCCCATGGGCTCTCGTGAGCAGCACACCGTGTGACTGCTACGACTTCACACCCAAGGGGCCTGTGAGTCCCCCCAAAAAGAGATGGGCCTGGCGCCACGACAGTCTCGAGGTCCTGGGTGCCAAAGACTCTGTGTAGGCAGAGTGGAGCCTAACCAAAGCCACCTGAAATGCCTGCAAACAATAACTGGTCCCAGACTACTGAAATAGAGTCAACCGGGTTAAGAAATGTAAGCAGTTAGAACCTAAGCCCCCAGAAAGCATGAAGTGCTCTGTTAGAGACGATGAAAACACTGATTATAATTCAAACGAAGCCGACTGGTAAGACTGATAACCATTAATTTTGTCATGTGAACTTCTACAGTTTGTTTCATTGAAAAAAAAAGAAATTTTAGTCCAATTGCCACAAATACGTAACACAGCGTGAGGCTCTGTAAGTTATATCCCATTTCTTTTAAAATATAACACCTTTCAATAGGAATGTTCACTGTGTGTAAACATCAATCTGTATATAGAATTAGCATGTGTCAAAGCAACGTGTCTTATGGTTTTAGAATAAACCTAGACCCCATCACAAGGTGTGAGTTCCTCCAAGCCAGTGTGGAGGGGGTGCTACCATACATGTGTATTTACCTCTATCTCAAGGCACACTTATCCTAAATATTTAAAAAATTTTAAAGGTACTTTAAAAGAAATCCAACTAAGTATCTTACCTGTTGAATTATTTTTTCTTTCTGAATTCTGTGCGACTGTGGCTGGGTTATTAAACATATCAATCAAAGGGCTGGTTGACGCTCTGGCTGAAGGAGCTGAGGGGATCTTTGGTGAATATTTAGAAAGGGTGTCATAATCTCGCCCAACCTGTGAAAAATTCCTTATTAGTTTAACATTAGTGTAACATAGCAATGGCATTAGACAGATCCCCAGGACTGTTTTGTATTACATGCTTTAAATTCCATTTTTCCCCCCAATTTTTTGTAGGGCAATGCCCCTTTTTGAATTACTTCAAGAATACCATGTCCTTTTTTCCATTTTTGCCTTTTTTTTTTTTTAAAGCAGTTACTCCCCATTTTCCCCATCCCTTGAAAAGCACTCATCTCCTTCCTGTCTCTATGGATTTTTAGGCTCCCTTTTAAGTGCTGCTTGGCTAAAGGCATCTACATTTAAAATTATTTTTCCACAGAATTTTGAGTGCATTACTCCATTACTTTCTAACATCTTGTTTTCCAGTATCAGTGGGATTCTCCTTCCTTTGTGAGTAACCTATTTTTGCTGTTCCTGGAAGTTCTCAAAACCCTCTCTTTATCGCTAGCATTCTGCCGTCTGTTGAGGTTCTGGTCTTTTCCATTCAGCCAGGATCACCCTGCCTGCTGTGTTAAAGGCCAGGCTACCGCGGTCATCTCTGCCGGACCTCGGTTAGAGCAGGGTGGGGGTAGAAGTGGTGGGAAACAACAGTGTGTACCCGCGGGCTAGCCGTGGCCTAAGAGAGGGAGAGGGTCGATGTCCAGTGTCCGCACTGCTGGAAGGATGAAGTCGCCATTTACTGGACGGGAAAGACTGAGGAGAAGTGGGGTTAGAGTGAGAGAGCCTCAGGTATGTGGTTTTGGACACGCTGAGTGGGAAGATCCCCACTAGACATGCGGGCGGCGAGGCCCCAGGTGGCAGCTGGATGTACCTCCCACGTTTCAACCCAGCTAACATTGATAACCTCTTTGATTTTTTTTTTTTAAATCCTGTTTTTGCACTGTATTTTGGGAGAGTTCTTTGGCTTAATTTCCCAAGCTGATTCATTCTGCTAAGGAGCCCCGCTCTTCTTTGGGGGTGTTTTTGGAGGGGCTGAGGGGAAAATGAAAAACTTTAATTTTAGAAAAATTTTGAACAGGTACAAAAGTAGAGAAAACAGCACAATAAATCTCCATGTACCCAACACCTAGCTTCAACAATTACCAATCCACGGACATTCTCGTTTCCTGTATGCCCCATCCATCTTCCCCCACAACTGGATTATTTTGAAGCGAATCTCAGACATACCATTTTAACTAGAAATAATAATCCTTTTAAATTTCCAAGACAGCTGACTCTTCTCTGTGGTTGTAATAGCCTTTCATCTCTTTTCTCCTCTGCCCTGTTGGCTCTGTTGCCCCTTTTACTCGTCATTCCAGTTTTTACTTTGGTGCGTCTTTTTATGACACTGGTTTCCCCCACCTGTTCAGTGACCACTGGTTGTCTGTCCATCTTTGTACTGGGTGGCGGTCCCCATTCTTTTTACTGTACACGACAGTCTGTGTTTTCCCTGTGCTCCTGATCGCATGCGATGTGGGGAAGAGGCAAGACACACCCCCAGAAGCGAGCCACACCCTTCGGTCCACACATGCTGTTTCAGTTCACAGACGAAAGCCCGGGCTGCCTGTGGTTTAGCACAGGTGGGACAAGCGGAGGGACCAAGCAGCCTGGACTGTCTGAACCAGCTCCCCAGCCGACAACACTCAGGACACCCCAGCTTCTTCCCCGCTTCTTGGATCCACTGGCTCTGAACTGACGGCTCCACCCTCTGCAGGAACCTTGCCCTGCACATCTTCCCTGGGGCTGACATGTCCTTCTATTTTCATTCTCCACACGCTGACCTTGCCTTTCTCGCTCTGGAGACTCCTTCAGCGTTTCTGGCCCATTGACAGCACCTGCTCTTTATTTTCCCATGTGGTTATGGATCTATTAGGCAGGTTGATGGCTGGTCATTAATATCTTTGCTGTCATTTCAGAGGGCTTTATATGGACAGGGAGGGTGGACTGACTCATGTGTTCAAACTACCTGCTGGATTCGAATCTCCTCACGTGTTTGTGAAAAGATAATAAAGCCCATATTCAAAGAACAGTGAACTACGATGCTTGAATTCGTTACCTGGAATACTGGGGTGATTATTTTTTTCCTCAGGTGCCTTATGTAGTGATGAATGGCACCAGAGTTTTGCTAATCTGTGTTCTAAGATACTTTACGCTTCCTTCAATGGGAATAAACTTATAATGTTGGAATCATTACAATTAAAAACAGAATCAGTAAAAAACATCTCCAAAACAAAGATTACAGTGCTAACACAGTGTGAGACATTTTCACATCTAGTTTCAAATCTGAAGGTAAGGGGATAAAAGGAAAGGCGGGCCCTAGAAGTAGTACAGGAGAACCCATGATTTCCACTAACAAAGAAGGCCTCGGTCTGTCGTGCAAATATGGCTGAAATCTTATTAGCAAACATACAACCAAAATCTTGAGGAGACAACCAGCTCTTACCATGCTGCTTCTCTCGATCATGGGTGAAGGCAGAGGCGTTCCAGACATTGGGGTGGAGATTGGGGTCTTAATTTCTTCGATCATATTCATGATTTTCTCTGGTACTTTGGTGGCATCACCACATGTTTCTTGCCACTTAGGCAGTTTGGAATTGATCAATTCTGCAGACTATAAATTCAAAAGAAACAAAACCAAAGACAAATGTGTACTGTTGGAAGGACTGACACAAATTACAAATACTACTAATGTATTACTGGCTTACCACTGGAAGTGTGGGAGCTATGAGTTCAATTCAGTGAGGAGCTTAAGCAACTATGGGGATCTGCTGTCTGCTGTGTCTTATTTGCTGAGGATGTAGGCTCCTGTTCTAAAGGAATTTACTGTCTCCCTCAGGGTGAATACAGAGTTCAAGATTAATACAAGGATTGTACATGATTCAGAAGAAGTTCAAAAACTAAAAGGGAAGGCGGATCAATCCGTCTTAATCCCCATGATTCCCCGCGGCCCCAGAACTGCCAATCCCCGCTGTCTTCCTCGCACAAGAAGCACCTCTGACCGAGCGACAGGACCAAGGGTGGACTCTGTGTGTGTGTGTGCGTTCGTGTACACTAAACACTGTCCTAAGTACTTCATCCTTGTTAATTCACTGCATCTGCCCCACAATCCTAAAGTAGGTACCATTCTCATCCCCATTTCACAGATGAGGAAACTGAGAACTTTGAGAGGCTAAGTAACTGGTTAACACAGCCTTCCGTGGTAGATCCAGGACCCTGAGGTTTCAACTACTGGGACCTCAGGGGAAACCGGACTGGCGTGTTAGAGGAGTGAATCAGACCTGCCCTGAGAAGTTCCTCTACGGGGACAGAGGGACTAGAAGCAGAGCGTGGTGGGTCTTCAGAGTCGGGGCAGTGTTGAGGGGAAGCCCCGCCCACAGGCCAGCTGGGGCTCTGGGGCAGGCAGACCATGGGCTTTGCAGAAAAGCTGGATTGCAGAACAGAGAGATGCAGAAGGACAGCGACAAGACCCCTTAGCCCCACAGGCAGAGGCATCTGTCCTGGTTCCCACAGCCTGGCTCTTCCTCCAACTGGACTCCCAGACTCCCTGGAGCCTTTCCGAGAACCCCTTTTTCCAGGGCGGCAATCTAGTTGGAAAAAGGAAGTAGGGGATCTTTTTTGAAACTATTTTCATAACAACCACACTGTTTTTCATCTAGGCTCTGTGTCCATCAGAAGTGGGCTGGGGGAGTTGGTGTAAATCCTAAGCCCCGCCCCTCACACCACCCCGTCCCCTGCCTGTGACGCAGACACACCGCGGACCAACTACTAAGCCTGCTTCATCCAGGACTGGGATCAGGGAAGGCACAAAAGCGGTTTCAGAGACTTGAAGAGACTTCTGCTAGGGAAAGGAGATCTGGCTTGCGTCACACTAGAAAACGTAATAGGGACTCGAGGTTAAGTGTAAGAAAGACTCTGCCAACAACTAGAGCTCCTGGAAACAGGCCATGTTGCCTCACGACACAGCAAGGACCCCACTGCTGGGGGGCGGTGTCACCACAGGGAGCTTCAAGGTTGCTTCTGTGCCCCTCCGGCCCACGACCCTGCCCCAATAGGACAGTGTCACCATGGAAACATTAGTACGTATGCACTGGTGACAAAAGCAATCATCTAATGCAGCATATTTTTCTTTCCCGTAACAACCTGAGACCTTAGGTATTTAGATTTGGTAGCTGAATATTCCTTAAAGTTGCAAAAACTTTACGGAATATGTAACCTGTGATATATGCATACATACAAGTCCAAGTGTTTTTTTCCCCTGAAAAGAGGAAGTTGCGCTCTATTCAAGCTCTTACAAAGCTCTCATATCATGGAGCGCTCTCTAAATTACTTTATTATGAATAACAATGAATATCTGACTTTAGTCAATGCTAGTTCTGGATGCTTACATAAACCCAATAGAATTCATAATTTAAAAAACAAAAAGAGAGAGGAAAGGAAATTTAACACACGGTTTGTAATGATTCCTGGAAATATAACCTCACAACTGCACGCACTGAAGGAGAGGAATAAATCCAGTCATGCAGCCGATGCGACCTTGAACAGACACACAACCTGAGGAGGAGTGAAAAAGGAGCCCCGGCCAGCTGTCCTGAGGCTGGGAATGGGGTCTGCGGCCTGGGATAGAATTTCCAGCAACACCATCTACATGGACCCCCAAGGTGAGCATCTCAGGCCACCCAGGTGGGCTGGACCTGGGGCCTGCCAGGACTCACCCCGTGGTTCTGGGGAAGACACTGATGTTGAAGATGCATCAGAAAGAGTCTGAGAAAAGCTGACTCATGGGTGAGAAAAGGAAAAAAGTGCCATTTCTCAGTTATTCAATAAGTATGAATGTGTTACTAAACATTATAAACAAGCTTTTGACCATTTCATCTACATTTCTAAAAGTTTACACATTCAAGTTGGTCAAAAATTATTTCCTTGGGGAACTTCCCTGGTGGTCCAGTGGTTAGGAATCCACCTTCCAATGCAGGGGACGTGGGTTCAATCTCTGGTCAGGGAACTAAAATCCCACATACCATGGGGCAACTAAACCCACGCGTTCTAGAGCCCGCGCACTGCGATGAAAGATCCCGCATGCCACAGCTAAGATATCACGTGTGCTGCAACTAAGACTCAATGCAGCCAGATAAATAAATAAATAACTATTATAAAAAAATTATTTCCTTGGAATCTTCTCCCTGGCAAAATAAGCCTTTTGCTTTATATTTGGGCACGTATGGAAGGTGAAGCATTTCAAGGGCATTTAAATATGAATAAAATTAGTCCTCACAATGCAATTTGCCACCACACCCACCTGTAAGTGATACTGATGAATGTGATTTGCGAAGCTGCAGTGTTTGTCAACAAGGAAGCAGAAGCGCCTCTTCTCTTCAAGTAGAGCTTCTTTGCAACCATCTGCAATAAATTTCTGGATTTCATTCTGGCGAGAAGTGATGGTTTCTACATACTAGGAAAATAAATAATAATTATACAAGTATGACATGAGGCATCAAATAGCTACACAGCCTGACACTTATCTTCTCCCATCTTTATGCTTGGTTTATTTTGATAATGGAGTAAGTGCTAAATGCAGATAAACATTAGACAAAACGACGTACTTGTAACCTGATCTGAGCAGATGGCAAATTCTCATTAAGATCCCTGACTCATGCTTGGAGAGAAGTTGCCAAAGGCCTTACATTCCACTGGGCAATTTGTACAAAATATTACTTTGTAATCCAGGGATATGATCATGTTTTACTGGAAAATCGTGGGACCAAAAAGTTCGGAACCAGAAAGTTCAAGTTCAAATCCCAGTTCCAAGTGCCAACCATGTGACTTAACCTAAGCCTCACTTTCCCCATCTGTAAAATGGAGATAGTAATGCTTATACTGGGGAGTCCCTGACCCTCCCTGAGTTGGGAGAAAATGCCAGTATGCTCTTGACTAATTATTAACTTAACTCCGGGGAACTCTGCGGCCTTCAGCTCCTACCAAGTCGAAATGCGTGTTTTTAACTTTCAACAGCAGAACAGTGAAGGATGAAGTAGAGACTGACTGAGGTGAGCACGCTTCCCCGTTAACTGTACAAATCATCAACCCCAAAATAAAGTAAAATAGTGCTGAAAAGTTCACCTCACTCTCCTTGTGCTCATATTTGAGTGCATTTCGTCCTCCTTGACTTTTCCTTCTGATCTTCTTCAATTCAGCTTGAGATTTCTCCAAAGAATCTAATTTATTCCTGTGTTCTGCTTGGTATCTTTTGAGAGTTGCCTGCAAGTTAAACGTTGCACTTATTTTTACTGCAGCACCAGGCAAAGTGCCAGGCGGTTACTCTTGCTGCGTTTCCACTGGGCGTGGTGGCAAAAGGCCCATGCTTCGCGCTGCCCTGCCTGGCTGCAGGTATCCCCACTTCACACAACCCCCCTCCGCTCCTTCGACTTCAATGTCCTGTCCTGAAGTTCCCCGTTTATATGATGAGCCCCTGACCAGAAGGGCAGCTTCTCGGAGAGAAACAATGCTGTTTCTTTCTTTTATTCCTTTTTTCTCCAAGGTTTTTGGACACTGGGTGGCCTGTAAGTGCTTTGGTGAATAAATGAACAATATCAACTCACACACTCCTGACTGTTTTATGACTTAACGATTTCAAGAAACAGAATGAACAAGAGCCATTGCTTCCGGTGATTCTGAGGGCTGTGAAACAAGAGTGTTCTGGAGCCTCACAGACCTGGGTTAGAATTCTGGCTTCATCCCTCATTTCCTGTGTGATCTCAGCAATTACTTAATTTTTCTGAAATCCATGCTTACCCTCTAATCTGTACAGTGGGAATATAGTAAGAGTACCTATGTTAGAGTTTCTGTGGGGATAAAAATCAGACAATGCACGTAAAGGGCTTGGTATTACATCCTCCGGGCCGCAGAGCACGTGCATGCAGGGCAGCAGGACGACTTCAGGGTGACCCCCACCGCTTACTGCCATGCGGGGCTTGTGAAGAAGGGGAGCTTCGGGCGGCCAAGGAAGCAGCTACTGTGCAGCAGAAAAGAGAGGCGGAAGGAGCAAACTGCTGGAATCGACACTGCCGTAGGGCAACAGGAGAGAGACACCAAATGGGACCTGGAGCCCCAGGGAGCTCCAGACGGCGTCCTCCCACACGGCTCACGTCCACAAGTGCCGGTTTGTGAAAGCAACAGCTGCACTAACGCAGATGCAGGTGTCATCCACATATGCGTGTTCCTTGAAAACAGTGTTTTCCAGAAGTGTATGATTCCCTGCAGGATTTCCTGCTATGCTTTTTAGTAAAGATCCCAAGTGTTAGCACTTGGCCCACTCAGCCCAAAGGGAACTTGTCAGTGTTATGCGGCTGTGTACACACTCGACGGCCAGCTCCATCATACCTGCTGCTGCCGAGTCAGCAGTGGGGGAAGTTGTCCTCGAGCTCAGCCATCAGGCAAGTGCAGCCTTCGCGAGAGCTGGGCCCCCAGCCCCGGGCCACCTCCACCTACGGGAGGTGGAGCAGAACTAGGTACTCACGTTCATATATTTTACATCAAGCTCTGTCTTCTTCTCCAGCTCATGGATAATCTCCTTATGGAATTTTCTGAACTGTGAACACAAGGAAATGAAAAATTCAGACCAGGTTTGAGAATTGAAGTGAAATAAAATTTAAAAATAAGTATATTTGGTAAATATAAAAACAGTTCACATACATTTTCATCAAGGCTCTCGTTGAGTTTCTTGTGGATACTCGAAATCTCTATGAGAACGTGGCCTGTGGACAAAACCAGGTACATTAGGGCAAAAAGCCACTGCAAGGTTTTTGTAAAGATATGAAGGGAAGTAAAGTGGTGGATGAAGCCCAGTCCCTGGCTGCTCCCAGAGCAGGTGGGCACCAGCCCCATGGCACTGGGAACACCGGCTGCGTCCTGACAGCGGGGGTGGGTCAGACGGACGCAGCTGACAGCAAACTGACTCCACAACATCGTTCGTCAAAAGCTTGCCAACTTTGTCTTTCAACTCACGTTGTTCTCTCGCCATTTACTCATTCCCTAAGCTGAATCCTATTTACCTGGTTTAATTGTTAAATTCTCTTACAAGAGATTATTTTGGTCATTATAGTACTAACTATAGGAACAAATGACTTATTTTCATCTAATCCCGGGTAATCTGATTATCTGTCAGGCATAAAAGATAGAGGTTATTTTCTCTTCCTCATATTAGTTCTCATATCATTCTTGAAAATCTCAACGCCACGGGAAACTGCAGCAGGGACAGTGTTCTGCCTCGCATCTCCTGGGGCTACACCGTTCTCTGAAATGACTGCACAGAAAAGAATGTTCCGGGACAAAGGAGTGTTGCTCCAAAAAAGCAGCGAGATGACCACTTGATTTGCAAAGCACATGTCTTGCGCCTTGTGGCAGGGCGCTGCCTCCCCGCTTCTAAAGGTGAACAAGAGCCCCCCTGCCAACTTCTCTACAGGAACCAAATGGGTCTGATACCCAAAAACTGGGAGCGAAAGAGTTATTTGGAACCACCACCAAATCATCCCAAACCACAAAACGTGCCGAGCGGACCATCCTACGGTTCGGTGGGCAGATAAAAAGGAGTTCTTTGGGCAAACTGAAAGGCTGTGGATGAGGGAGAATGAAAAGGACGACTATGGTAGACACGGGGGAAGAGGAAAAGATTACTGACTAGACTCTGGCTTCAGTGAGCACCTCTATGCGAGTGACTTTAGTAGGCCCAGTTCTGGAAACACCTGAAGACATCTGACTCTAAGGGGGCAGCCCAGGCTCTTCCCCATCTTCAGACTCAGAAATTCTGCCTGTCCTGAACACGTCCACCCGGATGTCCCACTAGGCGCCCCGTATTCAGCAGGCCTACAAGTGAACCCCACCCCACCCTCATCTTCTCTAATCCCAGCTCTTGGCTGCCAGCCAGCCAGTCATGAGGGGTTGACACCCCGCCTACGCCCAATGACAAAGACTCATTCCCTTGTGCCATCACTTGGGCACCTCCGGCATGGAACCATGCCTCTTATACTCATCCCGCTTCCTTGGGCAACAAACGTGCCAGCCCTCCCCTACCCAGGAGAAGGCACGTGGGGATGACGTGAAGTCGATGTTCGCTCGATGACCTGTTCTAGGAGAGGTGGGCGGGGATCTCCCCAGGCCCTCTGCCCCACATGTTTACACCTGCCAGTTGGACCTCTTAGGAGGCGCCCTCCTCCTTCAAGCTCTTATTTCTCATGACTCCCAGCTTGTTCTCTTCTGGATCTCCTCCCTCACAGGTGCCAGGGTTCTTTCCAAATCTACATGTAAAATGTCACTCCCTCCCATGGGGTCCCAGATAAAACAACTCCTCGGCCTGAAGCCCACCATGAGCAGTGTTGCTTAAAATAACCATCGTGGGTGGTGGAGACAGAGAATCTCCTGGAAGGATATAACCATGTTAATAGGTTACAGGTACATGTAAGTCCCTAAGCACCATGTGATTCTAGGAACATCTGCTGGATAAGCATGAGAGCGAGGGCAGACACGTCCCCAGCACTGATGGTCCATGTGCCAGGGTATCAAGGTACCCACTCTACACCCTCAGTGACACTGACTCCATTTATCCATAATTCAGTTCTCCTAAAGTTTCAAATAAACCAGAGTTCTTCACAAAGGAAGCCTTTATATGACCAAGAATATAATTACATTAATATGTCATTTCATATACTGAAATAATCTGAGTTACCTTCACATCTATTTTAAACCCATAACTCCGAGTTGGAGATGAAAAATAAACAACAACAACAAAAACCACTTCAATTAATTGAAAATCAAGCACTCTATCCTGGGCAAATCAGATCTACTTAAAAAAGAAAACGGTCTAAAAATAATTTTGCTTAAATCATTCAGAGTGATTCAGGCTAGTAGCAAAGTGTTCACATCTTTTTTTTTCACGTTGTCATGAACTTAATTTCTACAACCTTATATAACATGGACCTCTGAGAAGCGTGTCAAAAGTATGTGCTTGTGCAGTGCCCTCGGGAACGCCAGCGCTGCTAAAGCCGGCGCTCCGGCCTGAGGGCCCCGGCCAACCGAGCCCCCTCCTCACTCTCCCCCTCCCGTCCACAGTCTCTCCCCGCCCCACAGGCGCCCAGTGAAAAGGCCCAGTGAAACAGCCCATTCACTCTGCGGGCAGAGACGGAACACCTGACCTTCCCCCCTGTTATTCCTGTCCCTCACAGTTCGTGGAATTTAAATGCCAACCTCATAGCAGCAGCCACTGAGTCCTCAGTCATAAAAAGGATTAAAAAACATCTTTACTGTGATTTTGCAAGCTGCCAAAAGAATATCTTGAAACAGAAAATGAAAACGGCCTTTATGTTCAATCTACAGAAGTTTATTCTTAACGTAGCAAGTGTTACTTTATGTCTGAAATGTGGTATCGCACGTTTTACTCTTAGCCCTGTAACCTACTTTTTCATAAATTACATTTGGGAAGAAAAAAAATTTTTGAAACGAGAGGGTGCAGTCGAGAAAGCACGGCCCAGATTCTAATGGAGCAGAACTAAGTAAACGCCTAAACAGGAATCAGAGTGTTGATCCCAGAAATTACAGCACCGTATGTACTGGATCAACCATTTCCTTTTTTCCCTTTTAGGTTCTGAGTCAATATTTTGGGAAGAAACTCGTAAAAAGTACAGTAATGTAATTCGGTCTGAATAAATTATATTCTTAAATAGCAATATTAAGGGAATTTAAAAATATACAAATTTTTCAAAATCATGAACTTGATACAACTAAAAGTCAATGTCTACCATCAATTTTTCTCTAAAAGTCATACAAATAATAGCTCCTCGTGGTATCACTCTAATTTTAGGAACTATGAACAAATATGTCCAACATTTTGGACAATACTGTATGAAGATACACATTTAGCCAACAGGCAGTATGGACTTTAAAAGTTAAACAAAAATTAAAAAATATTACTAGTATGAATACAAAGAAAGTTTTCATCTGAAATATAGGTTAGTCATTGGACTATTAATATATTTTCAACTAGATAATTCTTCATCACTTCACAGTATAAATTTAGAGGAACCAGATGGACACTACTAACAGACTTGAGTAGCACAGAACGTGTAGGCATAAATATTCTTTTTCATTTATATTTGATTGTGGATAATCAGAACATTTATTCTTTCCAGATAGCACAGAGCAGTGACAGGCGCACACTAATTCCTCCATGTGACTTTGAGTGGAATCAGACAATAAAACGACAAGGTGGAAGCCAACCCACTACTGGCCTAAAGTTACACTGTATAGACGAAAGGAAAACTGATAGAAAAAATGTCACTGGAAAGAGGATATACTTTTTCTGAGAGTTTTTCAAATACCCAGTGTGATGCAGAGAAAATATAATGAAAGTAAAAGCAAATTACACATAGATGGGATACATTAAAAAACACAAGTATGTACTCAGGGTCACCAACACTGTTAGCAGCGTCGGAGTAGTACCCACCAACATGTGACCCAACTTGGAAGGCTTTGCCAGCATCTAAGAATAGCTCCCAATGACTGTTCCCAAGTCCCTGGATGCAGGTGGAGGTGCTCTTCTCTCATCAGTATTGAAATTGTGCAAATAATCAATGTGCACATAGGCACAATGCCAAGTCAGTGATAGGGTGAACATTTCATCCAACATTCCTCCAAAGTCTAGCTTTTGACTTACCCAATCATAGTTCCACAGTTCTAATTAACACCTTGCATGGAGACTATAATTACTCTACCACTGATCATGATTTATCCCATCTGATGAGAACAAGTGAGACAAACTGAAGTTATACAACAGAATTATATAGTGTTCCAAAGTTCTTTCATTGTCAGAAATGAAAGTAAAGTGCCAAGTAACAATTGAGTTTGATAAGAAAAGATGCATGGTGAAATCTCCAGGGTAGCCACTAAAAGAATAAAGTTCATATAACTATCAAGCTAATAGAGAGGAGAAAAAAATAGTCAAAAAGAAGACTAGAGAAGAAATTAACAGAGGACAGAGAGTAGAAAGCAAAAGTAATTACACTGGAGGTAAATGGAGTATATAGTTTAATTAAAAGACAAAGATTGTTAGGATTAAAAAACAACACCCGGGGCTTCCCTGGTGGCGCAGTGGTTTAGAGTCCACCTGCCGATGCAGGGGACATGGGTTCGTGCCCCGGTCCGGGAAGATCCCACATGCCGTGCAGCGGCTGGGCCTGTGAGCCATGGCCGCTGGGCCTGCGCTCCGCAACAGGAGAGGCCACAACAGTGAGAGGCCCGCGTACCGCAAAAAAAACCCCACCACCACCCAACTATATTCTGCTTACAAGAAACATACTTAAATACAGAAAGGTTGAGAGTAAAAGGATGGAATCAGATACATGGCAAACACTAACCAAAAGAAAGCTGATGCCGGTACATTAAAACCAAACAAAGAAGACTAAAGAGTCAAAGAAGGCAAGAAGCATTATTAGAGATAAAGCAGTCATTTCATAATGGCAAAAGGTTCAATTCATCTGGAAGATAGAAAAATTTTGTATTTGTGTGCATCTCAATGTAGTCTCAATGTTTCTAAACCAAAACTGAATTATAAAAAAGAAACAGATAAATCAATAGCCATCATAGGAGATTTTAATATATCTCTCTTAGTAAACTGATAGAACAAGCAGACAAAAAATCAGTACAGATATAGATGACTGAATAATGCAATAAATAAACTTGATCTAGTGAACATATAAATCACACT